ACAGCCACACACAGTCATCCAGTCACACACACTCCCACTTACACACACAGCCACACACACTGTCATACAGTCATACACCCAGCCACACACTCACACACACAGCCATACATACACCCACAGTTACACACACACAGCCACACACAGTCATCCAGTCACACACACACACACACACTTATATAGTCATCCAGTCACTCACACAATTACACACACACACAGCCACACACACTGTCAGTCACACACACACACACACACACACTTACATACAGTCATCCAGTCACACTCAGTTACACACATACAGCCACACAGTCATTCACATACATAGACTCATACACAGTCACACAATAGTCACACACACACTCATACTCAAACACACATACACACAGCTACATACACACATACATACGTGCACACACACTAATATACTAAAATACTCATATACAGTTACACAATCATACACACACACACACACAGACTCTCATGGCACAACTGCTTTGTCCGGGACACTGGGACAGGCTGTCTGTATGCCTTTAAGGCTCGGGCAGAGGTCAGAGTCTGTGCAAGCCACATAATGATGGTAACTGTTCTAAGTCTGGGGGTTGTTTTTGCATAAGAAATGCTCATTTCATGCTGAGACTCTGCTTGCTAGAGAAGGCACATCAGGCTGTGACTTGGAAACAATGCGAGGACTCAGAGTCGTGATGGGAAATGCCATGTGCACTCCCAACAGCCAGGCCCCAGGCTTCTGAAAGAGCGCTGGGCCTGTCCCCAGCATTCCCACGGCCAGTTCTAGGGCAGGGCCAGTTCTAGGGCAGGGCGCGGGCGGCTCCCCCTGGAAGCCAGGCCTGGATGCCGCTGGCCACGGGCTGCAGCACACTGTGGTGCTGAGTCAGCGCCGCCAACCACAAGCCAGGCCGTGGGAAAGGCCCCGCAGGCCTCTCCCCACAGGACACACTGACCCACACGCACCCACCCTGGGCGGTGGCACGCCCTGCCTCTGACTGCCTGCCACCCCCTGGGGCCACGGGCTCAGGAGGCCGGCTCACACCTGCTCTGCTCTCTTTGGGCTGCCTCTGACTTTCTGCCGGCGCCCATTGTGCCCGCGGCCCCTTCTGCCCAGACTGACTGGCCCTTCAATGCGTTCGCGTCAGAAGCTTCTATACAACTGCTAACACTTCAGATGCTGTCTAAGTTTTTCAGGAGAAAGATACAAGTTTTATTTTCCTCTTAAAATATTATTTCTTAGTCTATGTTATAAAAACTTATATGCTATGGAAAATTTGAAAAGAAAAAAGGAAAAAATAAATAAAATCACCTATAACTCTCCCATCCAGAGAGTCACTGTTCCTGAGTAGGTTTATGTCCCTTTCATCTCCCTCTGTGCATGGGGACACACCACCCACTGGACATAGGGCCCTGGGAGCCAGCTGTTCACGGTGCCCACAGAATATGCTGTCTGAGTGCACGGTGTCTCCTGCTAAGAGGCCACCCGTGGTTAGGACACACAAGGATTCGTTCAGATGGCAGCCATCCTCCTGGAAGCCTAGGCCTTCCCAGTGTTTGGGATTACAGACGATCTTTGAAGGACATTCCTGCACACGGAGCTGTACGTAACCGTTCCCTTAGGGTGACTCCGCGGGTGGAGCAGCAGGACCACTGGGAGGAGCCTGGCCGAGCCTTGGGCATCTGGATACCCGCATGGGATGTCGGCATGATCTGCTTCCATCAGCAGAGGAGATGAACACCGAATGGCAGAGAAGGTGGTCTGCCAGGGAGGGGCAGGCCCTCAGGCAGGCACCATGCCCCACTCTGCGCTCCACGCCTTGGGGACAGCCGCAGAACACAGGTGCTGCCAGGCTTGACCTTAGGCCTTGCTTCTCCAGGCACCTGATGGACCACTAGGGGGTCAAAGCTCACAAAGCCCAGGTGCGAGAGGTCTGTGTTCTTGGGTCACCCAGAAAAACTCCCTCCCCTTCCCAGGTGTCACACACGCTGGCCTCGGGCCAGGCTCCCGGGAGGCAGGGGCCGGCACTGCCAACGGAGGCCCTGGTGTCGCAGGACGGAGCAGCCAGGACGCAGCGGGCACCACCTATTCTCAAGGAGTCAATCCGCTGTTATGCCAGAGGCCTAAGAATACCCACGTATGCCCAGGGCTGGGCTGTAGCGCAGGGCAGAACGCCCGCCTAGCACGTGTGAGGCACTGGGTTCCATCCTCAGCTCCACATAAAATAAACAAAAAAATAAAGGCATGCTGTCCATCTACACGTACAATTTTTTTTTTAAAAAAAGGAGTATGTACAAGTTTTATTTAAAGAAACATCAAAACCAAGTTAACTAGTAGAAAGACGTGCCAATGTAGAAGTTTCTAGAAATTAAATCTTACTGGAAAACTTCTGTCTCTGACCTTGAAAAGTGAATCTCTCTTTGTCAGTATCTATGGTCCCTAAAGAATTTAACACATACCTACCAACTTAGTTCACAAAGAGCCAAATATGAAATGCATATTAAAGGGCTTTAGAAATCATGAATGCTTTATACGTCTTAATTATTACTGTAAAAAATAAGATGATGAGAAACAGAAACTAGGATTTCCCTTAATTGACTTAATGTGATCTTCAAAAGGGAAGGAATAGAAGGTTTTCTTTTTAATCAGATAGCTATCCTCAAATACATATGTGGATTATGGTAATTTCTTTAAAATGCAAGTCTTTAAACGGCTACAACGTACAGACGGCTGTACTGGTCTGTTTCTTTCAAACAGCAGAATATACAGGGCAAACAAGAGCACTGCTCCATACATAATTAAGCCCCTTCCCTTTAATTATTAAAATCAGCAAAACGCACTGGCAGCTGGCGGTCTGCAAGCCCGCAGACACACGTTGGCAGGGAGGTGCCAACCTTCCACAGACCTGGCTTCCGGTGATCACTGCGTTCCAGAGAGCAGCGACTGTGTCCACCACTGCTGCCAGTCCTGGACTTAGCTACTCTGTCATTCAGGAAATGACCACGGCTCTTTCGGAAGCAAAGTGGTTCGTATCATGCTTTAGAAAGAGGTCTAAACAAAGCTGCAATGTGAGGATTCGCTGACTGACTCCAGAGAGCAGTGACTGGCCAGGCCGCCACGGCAGAGGTGGCTCACTGCAGACCAGCCTCCCTGTGGCACCCCAGCACGCCCAGCCACACTCACCTGTCCCCCAGGGGAACATCATCACAAGCCCAGAGCTCGGGAGACAGGGACTTGGGGAAAGGCAAGCCCTCTCTGCCGCCCAGCCTGAGCACCGTGGCCTGCACCTACCATGGTCCGTGCTCTCTGCTGGGCCCCCTCCTGAGGGCCGTGGTAGAAGGCCAGGAGCCACAGCAAGGCTGCAGGCGGGTCCATGTCTGACCTCAGTAACTGCTCGGCGGCCACGTCAGCCCATCCTCCAAAGTGGGCGAGCAGGAACCAGCTCTGCAGGGGCCCTCCATGGGATCTGCAACGGAGCCGGGAAGCCTGGTTTTGCTTTTTCTTTCTCTTTGGCTGAGGATTCAACCCAGGGCGCTCCACACTTTTTATTTTTTATCTTGAGACAGGATCTCACTTAAGTTTCCCAGTCTGGCCTGGATCCTGTGATCCTCCTGCCTCAGCCTCCTGAGTTGTGGAGATTATAGGTGTGCACCTCCGTGCGTGGCAGCTTTAATGTTTGTATCGGGCTTAAACTGTACTTGTTCACTCTAGAATGACCTGCCAAGAACACAGCTACCCTCAAAACCTGTCAGAGTGCCACTCTGACCCCAGCAGAAAGCATCTAGAGGGACACCTCTCAAAACCCCCTGTGTGCCAGGCTTGGTGAGAGGCTGAGGCAGGAGGATAAAAGTCCAAGGCCAGCATGAGCAACTCAGGGAGACCCTGTCTCTAAATAAAATATAAAAAAGGGCTGGGGATGTGGCTCAGTGGTTAAGCACCCCTGGGTTCAGTCCTCAGCACCCAAACCAAAAACAAGCCCCATGTGCTCTGAGGACATGGGACATTGTGTTACCACCAGGTTCCTTAAATGAGCACAGCTGTGAGGAAGGAAAGTCTGGGCTGGTAACAGCGGATGTGACAGAGGATGAGACCCTGCCTGCGCCTCCTGCCTGCGCCTGGCCTGCACAGCTGGGCTGCTGTGGAGGTGGGCCTCCCTGCCATGGAGGCAGCCCTGGGCAGGCCAGAGCAGGAGAGGAAGTGGGTCCTGGGGTCCAGAAGGGAGCCAGCCTTTGGGACTCAGGGGCAGAGGTGGGACATGGGGAGAAGCCCGGGCGGCTTCCTTTCCAGGGAGACCCAGGTTCTAATCAACGTTCCAGCAGCGGGAATGTCTGCAGAGCGGTGTGTTCTCTGCCTCCCTGTCCTCACGGGGTGTCGGTGCCAGGAGGCTGACATTTCTTGCAAGCTTCCCCGTCACACAGGGCCTGGGGCTGCTGAGGGTGCAGGCTGCACTTCTCTAGCTCAGGGACATCTTGGCAGGCGAGTGCCTGCCCTGCAGACCACGGGCGGGCGGGCCTGAGGTCAGGGGGTTGGGGGCACTTCCCTCTGGACTGGCTGCAGGGACAAGAGTGCTCCAGGCTTCTCTGCAGCCAGTTCACAGTGGACCTGGCCCAGGTTCCTTCATGCCCAGGGGCCCCCCAGAGCTCTAAGCACTGTCCTTGCCTCCCTAGCCACTGTGTCTGAGCCCTCCCTTAGAACACAGGATCAATGTTCTGAAAAGGATCCTGAGAAGAGTGGAGAACTCGGGAGGAGGGGCCACTCAGTCCTGGTCCCCGGAGGATAGCAGCCCATCCAGTCCCAGAGGCACCAGCTGAGTTGGGTTGTTGCAGACCTGTGCTCTGTCTGTCTGCCTGACCTGTCCACCTGTCCCCCCACCTCTCGCCAGGCAGGTGCCGGCCTGTGTGATGAGGGCCAGGGAAGGACCTGCCGGGAGGGGGCCTGGGGCAGTGCTGCTCACCCCTGGGGCTGGCCGTCCACGGCCTCTCTGAGCTGCTGGGAGATGAGCTGCAGTCGCTGGAACCAGCGTCCCTGGGGGAGACCTATGGGTGCAGAAAAGAGGTCAGAGGCAGACCCGGGAAGCGCCGAGCCCAGGAGGAGCGACCTGTGGGGAGCCTGGGGCAGTCTGAGGACAGGCCTCTCCTCTCCTGGTTCATGGCACCAAGCCCTGCTTTTCCCAGCCGGGATCTTCTCGGCCTGGGGAGGGAACATCTGTCCAAGTTATGCAGGGACAAACCCGAGAGCGTCTGATGCAGTTACACGGAAGTGGGTGAAGGCTGCACAAGCAGCCACCTTGTCACGTGGGCCACGCAGCCCGTGCCCCAGGGTCTTTCTTTTCCATCCCCCTGACCTCTGCTCTGTCACTATAAATCGTGGTTCCGATGTATATGGAGACTGGACCCAAGCCACCGATGAGGAACGGGAATGGACCGCTCACCTGACCTAGGGTCGTGAAGACTCTGTATATGACCTTGGTTCACATTAAAGAAAAGAGGGAAAACGTGGGCATTGTGCAGACAAAGGTTTCCGCACGCTCTCCTGGCCTCCCGTGGCTCTGCGGTGTGCCAGCAGGCGAGTGACGGGGGTGACGGAACAGTGAGGACAGCTATGGATACCGAGGGCGTCTCCAGGGTGCCAGGGCACAGGGCACCGCCTCGAGTCGCGGAGCTCCCCAACCTTCCGCTCACAGCTTCTGGGCGGTTTTCATGTTCATGGTTTTTTGAGTGGTTTAGTTACTTATTTTACTTCCCTCTCCCATGGCTGCTAGCTAGGGCTCAGCAGTGACCCTCTTTTGTGCCCCGGGGACCTCACAGTGGACATGAGATACATTTCCAATCCCAACGCCGCTCTAGTGCTCAAGCTAGAAAGGACACGCTGGGAAAGGACACGTCCCCGAGAGCAACAGAGGACAGGGACTATGATCCCCCAGAGATCCCACTGGGGCCACCCCCAGCATCTGAGGACAGCGCCAGATGGGTCACCTTGGGCCACAGCCTTCATCTCCTAAAAGGAGGAGGAATTCTGGTTTTGTAAAATGCCCCTCCACACAGGTCCCACTGGAGTCTGGGAGAAAGGAAGCCAGGGACCGGTGGTGGCCCCAGCGCGCCCACCCTCCCTGCCCCCTGAACAGGAGCTCACGTGTCCCATGGAGGCGGTGGCCGAGAAGGAAGGGCGGTGGCTGTGGTCTGCTGTCAGGTGGCACCAGGGCTCCGCCCCTCCGCCCCTTGGTGAGGTGAGGTCCCCTGGGCTTTCCCGGCCTCGCCCTCCACCTTCCCTGCTCCTCAGCCACAGCCTCGGGGGGAGAGAATGTTCCATCTGACTCAGCCGCGTCTCAGCCCGCGCCTGGCACCCGGGGCCTGGGGCTGGAGCAGACCCTCACAGAAGAGCCGGAGCCGCTCTCCCTTCTCCTCCCCCTTCTTTTGGTCCGTGATCATAACCAGGAAACGAAGCAGATTCTCCTGTCAAAACCCTCAGGAGGCGAGGCCCGGGGAGCTTAAGGGATCTTGGACACAAGGCCATCTCCACGGACAGATACGGGACTGAGAGGGAGGGGTCACTGCGGGCCAAAGGTCTTCCCAGAAGTCCCTCTGGCCTGGACTCACCTTCGGGAAGTTGCGACAGCACGGTGGCAAGAGACGCCGGGGCGTGAGGAAAGTAGGCCTTGAACGCGAACCTCAGCTGCAACGGGGTCACAGGGAAGAAGAGCACGCGTCAGACTCGCGGGGCGTGAGGAAGACAGCCTCCTGCGCTGCCCCGAGACCCGCTGCACTGACATGGGTGGACAGTCTCTCAAACTCTGACAAAGAAATCTGCTTCCAATCACCTGATAAATATTATACAGAGCAACAAACTTCTTAAACTCACCTTCTGGGACTTAACAAAAATGAAGTTATGCTCTCCATGTCTTATCTGGCTCTTTACCCGACACAAACCCAGTTACACAGGTCGCTCTCCCATTGCAGCCGGGCTTGGTGGCTCACGCCTGTAATCCCAGCGGGTCAGGAGGCTGAGGCAGGAGGAGTCAAGTTCAAAGCCAGCCTCAGCAATTTAGCAAGGCCCTAAAGCAACTCGGTGAGATCCTGTTTCTAAATAAATATAAAAAAGGGCTGGCGATGTAGCTCAGTGGTTAAGCACCCCTGGGTTCAATTCCTGCTACCAAAAAACTGCACAACCTTCCACTGCAGTAAGATCAGCTGGCATTCCCACCTGGTGTTTAAACAGTAACAATGGCGGTGCTCACAGGCTCTGTGGGCCAGAGAGCTGGAGCACCCACCCCAAAGGCACAGCAGCTGTTTCCCACGGAGGCAGAACCCGGTCAGCCCGAGATGCACAGGCAGTGAGCCCGGTGCGGGGGTCTGGCAAACATGTGAGAGCATGTCACCAGTACCCAACCAATACACCCCTGCTAGGTGCCCGGGACCCCACCCAGGAGGCTGATGTTTGGATTTCAACAAGGGATTAGCCTTGCTTGTTCTCGAGTTCCACGTAAACAGAACCCCAGCACGTCCACTCCTCCACTTCTGGCTGTTTGGGCCCAGCGTGTTTTTTTAAGGTCCACCCATGTAATTGCACGAGTTGTTCATTCTTTGTTGCTTGCTCAGAATTAGTCACCACAGGGACATGCCACAGTCCACCCACACTGTCCTGCTGACAGGCATCAGGGCTGTTCCCAACTGGAGCCACTATGGACAAAGCTGCAGTTGACATTCGTGTCCCTGTCTTTGTGGACAGCTGTTCCCACTGTTGGGCAAGTACCGCAGGAGAGGGTCACTGGGCCAGCGGTGCCAGTTCACTCCCCCAAGGGACGTGTGGATGTTCTAGATGCTGATTGATTCTGCCCTTTCTAGTGTCAGAAGACATCAGCTCGTGCAACCTTTTCCCGGTGGCCAATGACATCAAACAGTTTTCATATATTTACCACCAATTTATGTATCTTTAAGCCTTGGATCCCTCTTTAATCGGGCTGCCTCTAAGGAAGCTGAGAGAGCGCTTCACATTGCCGGCCAGTCCTGCCGGAGAGGACGCCTCCTCCCAGCTGGACCTGCTGTTCATGCTCTTCAGTGCTTTCTGCCAAAGGACAGGTGCTTCCATCCTGACGCAGTGTGACCAGGCCACTCTCCTCCTATGGTCACTGCTTCTGTTTGTCATTCCTTCTAAGAAGTCTTGCTTACCCCACAAGCGGGCATCCGGCTGTTCACACCAATTGTTAATAACGTTTCTTTCCCCCACTGAGCACACAGATCAACTAAGCACACAGGTGTGTGGGTCTGTCTGGGCTCTGTTGAAATCTGTCTGTCCTTTTGCCAGTAACTCGCAGTCTCGATGACTGTAGCTTTCAGTCTTGAAATGGGCCGGGTGGATCTTCTGATTTTGTTTTGCAAAACTTCCCCACCCCTGCAGGTCCTTTGCACTCCCACGTGACTTGGGATTCAGCTTGTCCACTTCCATTTCACAAGCTGCTGAGGTGGACTGGGACTCGCTGAAGGCACCGGTCAGCCCAGGGAGAAGGGCACCAATAGCTCTGATCTGCTCTCCCCTGGCGTCCAAGTCGGCTTTGGTTTCCTCAGTAGTGCTGTGCAGTTCTTGGTGGGGGGCCGTGCGTCTCTGTTCAATACATTCACAAGGATTTTATGTGTTACTATGAGTTTCTCTCTTTCTTCTTTTACTTTGGTTAGTTTTTGCTTTATGCATTTTGGATGGGTTACTAGGCATTTATGGTTGGTATTTCTGCTGATGAACCAACTGCTCCATCCTCAGGAAATGTCCCTCCTTCTTGGTGGACCCCTGGTCTGGGCTCCATCTGTGCTGACATGGCCTCCTCTTTGCATGACACATCCCTTTCCCTCCCTTTCCTTCCGACCCACCCTGGCCTTCATACTCAGGATGGGTAAGTGGAAAACAGCACACAGCTGGCCATTTGTTGGTGTTATTTTAAAATTTAATCTGACATATCTGCCTTTGTATTAGAATACTTAGTTAATTCATTTACTTCTCGAAGATTTTTTTAAAATATTTATTTATTTATTTTTAGTTGTAGTGGGACGTAGTCCTTTATTTATTTATTTATCTATTTTTATGTGGTGCTGAGGGCCTTGCGCATGCCAGGTGAGAGCTCGGCCACTGAACCTCCACCCAGCCTACTTTTTGGAGTTAACGTGCTTTTGGAATGTTTGGGTTTAGGTCCATCTTTGGTGCCATCTATTTTCTTCTTCTGGTGGCTAACAGCTCTGTCTCTGCCCACCCCATGCTGGGGCCCAGTGAGTGGCCCCCAAGCCCCTAGACCCCGTGGCCTGGTGGGGACACTGTTCTGAATTAAAAGCAACTACAACCCCAGTCCAGAGCAGAGCGCCCAAGGCCAGAGCCCGGGAACAGGGGAGGGGGCTATGGCTGAAGAGCACAACTGCTCTGGCAGGTCCTCTGCCCCGACCTGGGGTCCCAGGAGGCCACGGGTGAGCTCGCTGGAGGTCAGGTCCTAACTGGGAATGTGCAGGAGAACGAGGAATGATCCCTACGGCGACAACTCAGAACGGCTGTGAAAGCCAGTGCCCTCCGCGGAGCTCTGCTCCCCAATTCCAGGGTCAGCACCACTGAGGTCCCCGTTTGCTGCAGTCTACTGACGGCCCCAAGGAAACAGAGGACGGGGAAAGTCAACCATAAATACTTACTGTTTCCTTAGCAAATAGGAACATCTGCTAAGACCTGAGCGGCTTCTTCGGCTAGGGGAGTAGGGGGACCCTAGGGCCGAGCACCCCAGCTCTGCCCTACAGATCAACTGCAGACAGCAGAGGGGACCTGCCGTCCTTCCTGGGGAGGCAGCCAGTGCCACTCTGAGCAGCAAGAGCCACACACACACGCCAAGTCTGTGCCTGAGACACCAGGCGCCTCACAATGCCCGCAGTGAAAGTCACCTCTGCGGGGGGTCCCTCGGGTCCTCCAGCTTATGGATAGCACCTCCTGGTCACTGCCATTCTTTGCACTGTCACTGGAGTCTTCGCCTGCCCCCTTTACCCACCCCCTGCCTCTGATAGGATGGACACCCGCATGAACAATGTCCAGGGCTGCTCTGGGAGAAGTGGTCCTTCCTACCTGGCCCTGCCTAGCTGGGCTGCAGGAAACCTCTCCCTGGCTGAGGGCTGATCCAGCCAGAGGGACAAAGCGTAAACACGGCCTGGGGGCTTCCTGGAGGTCCACCTGCTGGTGCATCACCTCTAACACAGCACCAGGTACCAGGCAGGAAACTGTCCTGACTTATTCCAGTTAAGACGGTTTCACCTTTGCTGGGGCATTTATTTGGACGCTTTCTTCATGAGCAAAAGTCCATCTGAATCTCTAAAAATAGCCAGGTGTGGTGGCTACTCAGGAGGCTGAGGCAGGAGGATCAAATTCAAGGCAATTTAGGGCAGACCCCCCCCCCCAAGGGTAACTTAGTGAGACCCTAGGTCCAAGTAAAATAAAAATAAAAAGGGATGGGGATGAAGCTCAGTGACAGAGGCCCAGTACCACGACTGACCAAAAAACTGTCATAAACAGCTCAGTGGCAGAAGGTGTTTAGCACATGCAGGGGCTGGGTTTGGCCCCCACCACCACAACCAAAAAACAAACAAATAATTTTTTAAAATAAAAGTGTTCTTTTCAGGTGAACAGCCTTTTCCTCCGGGGCGAAGCGAGTGACACACAGAGTGTAACGAACCTGCTTGTTTTCCTTGTCCCGAGCTTCCAGGAAGCACCGTGTAAACACCTGAAGAGCAGCCAGAACTTCCGGGGCCCCATCCGTCTCCAGGAGTGCACACCTGCACAACGCGACAGGATCAATGCCTGAGTAACACGGCAAACCTGCGCCCAGGCTGCGGTCAAGGCAAGCAGGGGCCATCCTGGGCTGAGCCTCAGCAGCTGCCATCAGATTGCAGAACCCGCGTGGAGAGGCAGGAGAGACCTGTCGCTCCCTTTCTAAATACTTTCTTTACAAAGGCATGAACTCGCTCTTGGTTCGTGCATTATTAACAGTGTGTGGCGCTCGCGGAGGCTGCACGCTCCTGAAGGCATCTGTGCACCACTGGCCCAACATTCGACATCAGCAGACATTTTGCTTTCATAAGCAGCAAAGGGCCAAATGGCTCAGTCAAGTCCCCCAGCAAAGCGGCTGGAAAATCTCCGTGTACCTGATTTGTTTCCATGCATTTCCATACAATTAGCTTTTTGCTTGTTTAAGCAAAAAATAAATAAATAAAAATAAAAATAAAAAAGCAAACCAAGCCAAATCAAAACCCTGCAGCCTGGCTTGCTTTATGCTAAGACAGAACTTTGCCATCTTACTTCAGGGCCATTTAGCCGAGAGTTGGTGTTTCAAGACGACCCAGTGGCAAGTTATTTGTTGTAAACTCCCTTTCCCCAGAGTCACCGCTGTGTGTGAGGCCAGTGAGGCAGGGGGAGGGTCTGCGCCCTGCTGCCCAGCATCTGTCAGAGGCTGGAAACACTCTGGGTGACAAGTCCCTCAAAGGGGGCCTGGTCTCAGGATTCTGTGGCTAATCCCCCAGATTCCGGGCCATAACCCAGTATGCTGCGACCCTCACCCCTGGCCTTCTAAATCCAATACCCCCGCAAAGGACTCACATTTTAAAATAAAAAGTCATGAGCTAGTTAGAAGGTAACACGCAGGGCTTGCTCTGCCTTTCAGAGGAGTTCTGTTAAGAACGGCTTCATTTGGGCTTCTCCGCTGCCCCTGGCTGAAAGCCTTTTACAAAGCACAGCGGCCCCCGTGTGGTGAGGTAGGGAACTGCACCTCTTCATTCAAGCTGAGAAAGAGCCCACATGGACATTTCATGATCCTAACATCCAGTTTGATTCTGCTTTTAGAATTTAAAACGATCACAAAAAAAAAAATAAAGTTATCTTAATCCTTTGAAATAGATTTTAAATATACATTGACTTTTGATTTTACCTTTAATTACCAAAAAGCCTAGCCAAAAAGCCGAGTCAGAAACTCAAGTTTCCCGTGGTATAGCCAGACAACTGCAGATTTTTCAATTATGCTTGGAAGCTGAGCATTTTTTAGATCAACTGCTAGCAGAATCAGCATAATATTTACCTGAACATCTCATCGACAATTCTGAACACAGCCGGGTGGCAGGCTGCTTGAGGCTGTAAAACGAACAGATCAGGAGGTGAGACTACAGGTATTTCATCAATAATAAGTTGCTGTTATGTGGCAGATGGCTTGTCCAGGGCTGCTGGTATGGAGAAATGGGCATATTTCTTTGGGTTAGGAAAGAATAACAATTCGTACGTGGTGGGTTGGGAGGCACAAGTAAATGCAGTGGTCCTCTCTGGGTATAGATTACGGCAAGCTTCATCTTCTCCTTGTCCTCTGTGTGTCCTACATATCTATAATAAGCCCATATGATCCAGAAAGATGCAGGAGTTTCATGGACAATTCAAAAATACCTTCTACCGGCATGCTCCAGTGAAAACACAGAGCCCGCCTGTGTGGCTAGTTTTATTTATACGTGCCCTTGTCTGACTTCCTCGACTGGCCTGGAAGTGCCTCAAAGTCGAGTCTTGGCCTTCTGTCTTTGGTTCCTGCTTATTTAGTAACGAGTACATAATAAATTAAAATTACCATTGAGGAAACCAGGAAACTGCCACACTACGAGAAATGACACCACTTATTCGACGCACTATGACTTAACAGCTTTAATTATTTAGGAAAAAAAGAAGGTTATGAAGGAAAAAAGGCAGCTTCATCTCAAACGATGCTCACCTCGTTTGCTCTATCATGATCGGTTTCAGTGACTGACACCTGCAGAAACTGGCCTCCTGTGGCCTCCAGTGGGGATCCGAGCTCTGTGGGTCTGACCCAGGTTCCATATCTTTTTGGCCAGAGCTCAAAGAATGGGTTTTTGCCTGACAGAAACACCTATTTGTGTTATAAAAGAGAGACTTTGCAGTGGCATCCCAATGTTGGTAGGTCAGGCTCTACAGGGAAGTTCTTCGAAGCACACTGCCCTGTGCACTGCCCTGGGAAGCATTTTCACAAGAACAAAAGGCTGTACTCTGCCTCTGCAGTTTTCTGGACCACCCTGTAGAAAGCATGGTGCCCACGCCAGCTTGCCCCTTCCTGGTCTGGGATGGCGTCTTGCGACATTGAGCGTTCGCCATCTAGTGTTCACGCTGAGCCACTGCAGGCTGCCCCAGAAGGCTACAGGCAGGGGCGCTGCCACTTGTTGGTGAACGGAGATAGATCTGTGATTTGCACGTTAAAATTCTCTAGTACTGACACAGAGTAACCCATGGTCCCTAAGCCTTCACCAATTCCCACTTTTATCTAAAATAAGCCAATGTGAAATGCTCGGTATTTAAGAAAATAACTCACAGAGGAAAGGTCGCTTGCTTCCTGGCTTTGATCTTAGCAAGCCAGTTAATCTTAGCCTTGCTGTAACAATTATTAAGAGGTCACTGGATATATGCCCGGAAAATATCACAAGTTTCCATGTACCCAAAATGGATAAGACCAAGCAAGGGACAGGCATCACGGTCCCCAGGAAGCGTGCTTTGCCTAGGTCTGCAGACCAGGCCTCAGTCTTCCAGGTAGACCACCTGCCTCTAGAGTGTTGGGGACCAACAGCACTGCTGCGTGCCCACAGGAGGACAAACAGTCCCAGCGAATGCACAGGGAGAACAAAGACCAGGATGGAAAACAGCAAAAGAGGAACATTTCCTTTTGTTCTAAATGGCCCAACTACCCCAGGGCCATCCTGAGGGTTGAGCTGGCTGTGAACCTCCACATTTGATTACATGGATCTCTGGATGGCCAAGGAAAGCATGATCCAAGGGGTAGATTGGGGCTGCCATGAGAGCCAAGGGGGAATTGAGTAAGAAAGTTCTACCGTCAAACAGGAATGAGTGCGAGAAAGAACTTAGGAGTGTTTCCCAGCAAGAGAGCCCCATCGAATGCTTCCAATGTCCCCAGGCTGTGTGGAAGCTGCCTGTTCCCCCATGTAGTGGACTGCCCACTTACAATTCTTTCTTTCAAATATTTCAGAACCTCATTTACTCTCCACCAACCGTTAGCTCTTGGAGGCCAGGAGGTAGGGGAACTCTGCTCAAATAGCAGCTACAGGGATCTTGATGCTCAAAGCAATCTCCCTTCCTGCCCAGCTGTGAGCAGCTACTTCTCCTGGCACCCTTTGCTGTTAGTCTTTAAAATGAGACTCTGACTTTTTTCAGTGAGACCCCTCAAGAGGACTGAGGTGCTCTCAGGTTTGGCATGTGTGCCCATGACATCAAATCACAAAAGCACACACTGAAGCTGTTTTTTCTTACCATGAGAATCTTCTTTGGAAGCCACATCTCCCCTCAAGCCTTCATAGCATCCTTGCAAGTGATGAGGCAAACATTTAACCCCTCTGTCTCCTGCTGTACTGATCAAGGGGGAGCTCTGGTGACAGGCATAGGCCACTGTCACCCAAGGTTCTGGAGCCTAGCTCAGAGACCCCATGGTCTGTGCAATTATCTATCCTTGAAAACGAAGGAAGAAAAGCTTTCTTGGGTCCATCTGCTCGTCTGTTTTTCTCCATCCCACCAAAATCTGTTCCTTCTCCAGCTCCCTCTTCTCCATCTGGCCTAACGATTTTCATGCACAGATTATTTCAAGTCTAAGGAAACCCTGTCGTCAGGAGGCTATCAAGAACACAAGTTTGCCTTCTTCCCTCCTCCAATCCTTCCCCTAAATGTCAGAGGACAGACAGACAGGGATGACAAGCAACTGCAGACACTTGGTCTCGCCTTCCTTGGGCCTGGGTGGTTCTGCTGGCTGTGCACCTGCCCTCCTTCCAGCCTAACCACCAGCCCACAGCCACCTGGAACCCCCCTCTGCCTCCAATGGCTGGTCCACAGCTGCCCGAGAGCAGGGAGGCCATCACTGTGGAGGAAGGGCACAGCAGCCATGCTTGCTGCTGCTGCTGCTTGGGAGAGGAGAGGGCCAGGCCCTGCCACCAGCCCAGAGAGCTGTGGACAGCACGGACCTCCAGCTCTGCCCACCGGTGTTTTTATTCTGTCTTCATCCCAAACCAGCAATGACCATTACAAACACACAGAAGAGACTTGAGAACACAGATGAGCAAGTCTCAGGAAGAAATATTCATCTTTTTCCATTTTTTGATTCTGTGCATATGAGAGAGACACAGAAAACAAACCAGAAAGGGAAATCAAATCATGATTTGAGCTAATTCACAGCTAAAGCAAACGCCTCTTAGAAAAAACTACAAAGGTGGCCAAGGGCAGGAACTCCCCAAGTCTCTTCCCGTCACCACTCTTCATGGACACACGCCCCTTCACCATCGAGAAGGAAGGTGCAGATGAGCAGCAAGGAGCTGGAGCTTAGGGAGCTCGCAATGGATTCTCTCTCCAAGGCCCATCTGAATGCTCAGGAAGTGATCATCTGAGCAATCGGCAGAAAGACCCCCCCTCCACGTGGCCCACCAGCCAGGCCGCCTGGTCCTGCGAGGATCCGACTGTTGGGAGCCTCTGTCGCCGGCTGGTATATACATATAAATCAAAGGGCAACTATATCCACCACGAAAGCTTTCTACTTAAAAAAGATTCTCCCTAAGATTAAATCCAACAATAAACGCCTTTATTGAGTTAAAGAATGATTTGGTTTTCAAACAATCTATTTATATAAAAACCTTCACATCTACCATATAAAATTAGGCATCTTTATAAATATGTATTTTTCATGATGCCATTTCTCCCCCTATTTTCAAAATGCTAAACATAAAACTGTAAATATTCCTTTTACGTTTTAGGATCTATTTTGTTTTAAAACATTCAAGTTTCTTACAATAAATTTGGGTTTAGAGGAATTATTCTTTCTTTTTAATCTTTACCAGATGTTGTTTATACTACCAGCAATTTTTTTCAGTACTCCATAATGCAATTATTGTTTAATTAGTGATAAATCTGTCATTCCTGGGCTTAAAAACTTAACAAGTACCAAATGTACTTTTGCGTTTTAAATTTACACACGCTCTGTAAGACACTGATGTGGGAGGTGCACCTGGGGGATGCCCAGCTCTGGACGCTGGACAAAAATCCCTGAAATCTGGTCCCTGGACCAGTGCCTGGATCCAGCCAGCCTGCGGAGCCTGAGCAGGAGGAAGCTTTCTCGGTGCCCACACCACTCTGGGGCCAGCCTGAGTGGTAAAGGACGCCCGGGGCATGGCTGCCCTGGCTTTTGTTGCTGTCCGCCTGTGTGTTTTCCCTCGCAGGCTCCATCTTTGCCTGGCTGCAGGGTCACATCCCCAGCAGGGACACTGTCCTGCAGTCTGGGCTTTCTCTACCAGGCAGTCCAGGGGCATCCGGCGCCCCCCAGAGGCCAGCACTGGGAAGTGCAGCTGCTGCCTGGAGGCAGAGCCCACAGCTTCAGCCACTGCTGAGAGTCTTCCACTCACGCATCACATTAAAAAGGAAATACTTAAAAGACTGTGGAGGGGAAAAGGAGGAAAAGAAAACTCTAGAGCATCAGTGACAGCTATCTGTGCACAGAAACGGACCACATCGTGCAGGCTGTGGAGCTGTTTCCAGCACAGCATTTTGTGAAAGGGACCTTGTGCCCTGGGACCTTGTGGAAACAAAGTCCCTTTTTCCTTTTGAAATGGTCATGATTGCTGTCTGGAGAAAGAAGACAAGTGCACACTCTAGCTCACACCAAGAATCCCGAGGTGGCCGGAGCTCTTGTGCCTAAGCTCTTTCGAGTTAAGAAGTGCTCTGGTGGAGCTGTGAGGCCTTTTCGGCAGGAGAATCGGGGAGGAGTGGACTCATCACCTGGGCACAAGACCCAAACCAACCCTGCCCCCTCAGTGCCAGCCTCTCCATACGCTGGGGAGGTGACCAGCAGCTCCTCAGGACACCACTGCAGTAGCCATGACTGCAGGTCCAGGGTGCCCCGCCCTGGCACACAGCAGCACTGTGCAGTCACCTGCCACCTGGCAGCCTCCTCACTCAGGGCGGGCGCCAAACAATAGCTCTCTGGGCCCACCAACAGAACCAGGGGAAGCCAGCCTCGGGAACCCAGAGGCTGCATGCTTTGTGAGTGGCTTCCACTGCTCTTGGTGACAGCACCAGTTTTTAAGGGCAGGTCTGAGGCCAGGGGATGTGGTCTTCCAGTGACGGTGCTGTTAGGGAGCAAAGCACCGTCTGTCTTTTCTTTTTCTTTCTTGTTGCTGTGGTTTGCTTGGGTTCTGGGATTGAGCCAGAAGTGTTCCACATCCCCAGCCATTTCTTGTTTTTTACTGCGAGACAGGGTCTTGCTGAGTTGCTTAGGGCCTCACTAAATTGCTGAGGCTGGCCTTGAACTCATGATCCTCCTGCTTCAGCCTCCTGAGTTGCTGGGATTATAGCCACCACTCCTGGCTAAGACCATCTTCTTTTAAGAAGTTTCAGTCTGTACAGTAAAAACTGGGGTTAAAACTTGTACAAACTTCAATTTATCTGGGGGCCACCATCTGTGGCAAGCAGCCACGTACTAGGGGACAGTTTGGTCCATGGAAGCCAAAGGATGAGCCTCAAAAATAAACAGTTTGGAAACTCATTTTTATTTTAGAAACCAAAGATGTGTGTGTGTGTGTGTAAAATTCATGTGACCACAGACCAGTCCCTATCATTTGGAGTCTCAGTGGAGCACACCAGGCCTCTGCAGTCCTGAGAGGCCAAGTAACATCTGGGAGGTCACTGCACTCTGCAGCACTTTCATCTTGTGCTTTGCTCTATCTTGGTAACTATAGAATTTCCAGGACTCGTTGTGTAGAGTCCCCAGAGATGGAAATATAATTAACGGCGTTCCATATAAAACACGAGTTACGTAGACCATCACGCTTTGATTACTCTCAGAGCCCGACTCTAATGTAATAGGCATCGGGTTTCCTCTGCAGCACAGCACAGCAGGCTGGTGCTGGGTCTTGGAGATCCAGCTGATACCTCGGCTCGGTCCTGTCACTGCACCAAGATACTTGGCTGCGATAAACAGGTCAGATGATGCAATTAGGAAGCAGTTCTTCAGGTTACCCCCGTAATCACTCTGTAGGTCACAGGCTTGTTCCAGCCCGAGGGGCCCTCGGGCATGGCAGGCCACAATGCCTGGGGAGAGTGGCCCACGCCAATCAGGGGCTTCTAGCCAGTCTGTATTGTAATTACCTCCCATGAACCATGAGGCACAGAGAGGTCACATCCTGCCAATGCCACAATAAATTAAACCAAATAACACCCTCTAGAATCTCCTTTGAACCATAATAAAAGCTCTGAATCTCTAACACATGATCCCGATACACTCTTGGCGAATCGATGGGCGCTGGCGGTGTTCACCGGGCGAGGCTACAGTCCACTACAAACAGTGCCTGAAGATTCTGCAACGTGAGGTCCGAGGGGAGAGGCGCCTCTCTCTCTCTGCTGTGCTCACTAAAGTGCCACTCAGGTAGAAGGGACACAGGGGAGGTTCAGAGAAGAGCCACAGGAGCAATGAAAGGTCACGGAAAAACCGACCGGGCGGGAACTTCTCCACTGAAAGGAGACTCACAGAAAACTGATCAAACCTCCCAGAGGCACACAGTCCACTTTCTCTATTTTACCGCTGAGAAGCAACCAGAAGAAAAGTGCCTTAAATCACAGCATGCGCGTTTAAGTCAGAAATAAAATTACGAGGCAATAAAAGTGATTTATTGCCTTTAGTAACTGGAATGGGCTGCCAGAGGGCTTCCAAAATTTTTTGATAATTTTAAATTATGTTGTGATTGTTTTAAAGTAAGGTGCATTCTTATCTCTTGCTTTAAAATGCAACTCTCTTGAAAATGAGGAGATCAAATAGTAACTGCCCTTAAAAATGAACTCTTGGGGTCTCTCAGTCTTAATATGTGTTTTTCTTTCTTTTTTCTTACCAAGTGCTGTCAACTTTCAGATCGAGTGGGTTCAGTCGGGGCACCCGACTGGCAAGTGACAGTGGGGGGACCCACACGGTTCTCTGACCGGGAAGCCCAGACACCAAGATCAGGAGGGGCCCTGGAACAACAGGGGGGCAGGCCCCAGAAGAGGCACAGAGGAGGCGGCAACTGGTGCCACCGGGATCCCCACACTCAGCCTCCAGCTTGAAAGAGAAAGAAGAGAACAGGAGGTTCCAGCAGAATTAAACACAGAGGAGGCCCCGGAGGCCGCAAGGCCCTGCTGATGAGCGCAGGACCATGGGCCCAGCCAGCCTTGGCCCCAAGCGTCTCAGCCAGGACCGGGTGAACACTCCCGACCGTGTCCTGGCCACACTCGGGATGGGGCTGTCAGCAGAGCTCTCTGAGCTCACGACTCTCTGTGCCAAAGACTCAGAGGTGACAGCGAATGGGAAACAGTGCAGTCCACGGAGGGTCCTGGGAGACACTCTGTGGCACACGGCACAGCCCTGTGACGATGGCAGCTTGCCACGTCATCACTCCTGTGACTATCCAGCTGGTGGTGCAAGTATGACAAATGTGGCGATGCTTTGACAGCACCAACCCCACTTTGGGCTTTCTCTTGTCACACAGGTGTGACTGAGCCAAGCGGCTGACAGCTGTCACCAACATGCAAAGGAGCTGATAACCTGGGCTTTTCCCTCCCGACCCCGAGGCCTGGCCGCTGAGGTCATGTGCCTGCTAGGAGTGGGCACTAGCATCCTCAGATGGCCTTGGAGACACGACACTTGCTGCAACTGCACCCTGAAGTCCATGCTCCACCCCAGAGAACAGGTCCCCCTGGGCTGCGGCCTTCACAGCAGCACCCATTGAGTGTGGCTTGACAGCACAGTCTCCAGACCTTTCTTCTGTGGACACAATCTGTTATTTTCTTTTGACTTGTTCCCTTTGCTTTGAGATGAGAACCCCTGGGCTCAGGGCACCCTCCTGTCTCAGCCTCCCAAGCGCTGGCCTCAACACTCAGGAGGGTGCGCCAACACGCTTGGCTTTCTTCTGCCTATTTTTGTCTACGTTTTCACACATTCCTGTGCTTACTTGTACTCATTCTGCTCTTGTATGTCTTGGTACAAACCAGGTCATGTGGAATCTACCCATGCCTCATTCGGCTTGTCACTTGACTGAGAGATAAAAAGACCAAGGAGTAGGGCCACCCTGGCTGGTCCACTGTGACATGTAGCTTTTTAGATTTTCTCATCTTAATTTCTTAACATAGCTGCACACTGACTGCACAGAGCTGCCTCCCACAGAAGGAACCGCAGGACGGCTGACGCGGGACAAGGCAGTGTGGCCCTGGGGCCACTGAGTCCTTGACGTCACAGGCCTGGGGACGAAGGCAGTGGAGCCACCACAGAAGGAGGTTCCAAGGCTGAGAGCCTCACCCGAGAGAAAGCTTCCAGAACCTCAGCTGCTCTGATGGTTTCTCTGGGATCTGTTTTGGTCTCCTGGCTGCTACTGTTCCTCTGGTGAAGAGCAAGAGGCTTATTTTTAAACTGTTTCTGTTAACTGATTCCTCCTCTCCCTTGGCCACAGATCTTCATTTTTAGAAAACTTTCCCCTTGTGTTGAAATAAGAAATAATATCTCTGAAAAGCCTTCTGTGGAGTCCCTGGCCTCCGTGGGCGCCCCAGGCCTGCAGGGCACCTGTGGCCAGGACATGGGGGCCGGGGATGAGCAGTGCTCAGCCTCCTTCCCGGGCACCACCACCCTGTGGTGTGGGGAGAAGGCGGGCAGTGGACAGGGTGGACCACATTCCAACAGGTGCAGCAGGGAGGGGCCAATAAAGCACTCCTTTGCAGAGCCCCCTGCACCTTTGCTGCCTAAATGTCCATCCTGTGAATACACCATCTGAGGCCCAGGCATCATGTGGCTCCCAAACCTCTCCCCCTAGGCACCATGTGCACAGAAAAGCTGGCGAACCAGGTGCTTTCCAGATAAGATGTAAACGCCGTCTCCCATGCTCCTGTTTATACCTGCCCCACCCTCAACTCCAGGAAACGATTCCCAGCATCTCCCTGGAGGATTCTCCCCTCATCAAGCCTCACACGTACCAGCGATAAATCTTTGATAAAGCACTCGATCTCTCTCAGACGATGCCTCTCACTGGAGACGAGCTTTTCAAAAAGATGCAGCACTGCTCTTTCAAGGCTGGGAAGGTGCTGGAGCCACAGAATGGTGACAGCCGCCACGGGGAGAGAGATCTTCTTCCTTTCAGCGAGAAACAAGAGGAATGTTAGGTAGACACGGACCCTGAAAGAAGAATGAGCGACACTCACTGTGCGATGCCCACCAGCGCAGGAGGCCTCTCGGTGGCCAGAGCCAGAGGGGACACTCATGGCACCCAGGAACAGTCCCTTTGTACACTTTGAAAATAACACAACTGGGGCTGGGGATGTGGCTCAAGTGGCAGCGCACTCGCCAGGCGTGCGCGGGGCGCTGGGTTCGATCCTCAGCACCATGTAAAAATAAAATAAAGATGTTGTGTCCGCCGAAAACTAAAAAATAATTATTAAAAAATTCTCTCTCTTTAAAAAAAAAATAACACAACTACACTTGTACCTAACCCACCGTAAGGATCAGAGAAATGACAGAAAATCAAGAAAGATCAGCAAATTGACAGTGAAGAAAGAAAAAGAGAGGATAAAAAAATGAGCGGGAGACAGGTCTCGTGTGTCCAGGTAAACGCAGGCCCTAACTTCAGAAAATAACGGATGACCTTGGGAAAGCTGCTCAACCTTTACACCTCAGTTTCCTCATCTGTGAACTAGGTCGGAGGGTCCACACAGTAACACATGCGCAGTGCTGAGCACAGCGCCACCCTGCCGACGCTGAGGAACTCTGTTTACAAATCTGTTGCTGTGTATTAACAATCCACGTAAGGTGATTATGAAGAGCTGATACAGAGCAGACCTTAAACACGGCAACTTCATAAAAACCATTTCTTGCAGCTGTTTCTGCTGGAGGGTCCTCTGGTGTCAGTAATTGGGGGCTCTAGCTCCCCTCCTGGGAAGGACTGAGGGGTAGGTGTCTGATTCTGCACCCCAGCCCCCAGGGCTTCCTGCCCATACCCTCCTGTCCCACACAGAAGGGCGCTTTCAAGGTCTGCACAGGGGCTGACTGTTATTAATGTGTCCTGGCCACAGGTGCCCTGTAGGCCCGGAGCGTCCGAGGAGGCCAGGGACTCCACAGCAGGCTTTTTAGAGAAACTATTTCTTATGTCAATATGAGGGCAAAGGCCCCATTACCCCTTCAATGACCCTTTCAGCCCCTGTCCCCTCACCATGACTTCTGGGCCACTGTCTTCCCGCTTTGTCTTTGTACCCACCTTGTCCTGGAATGACCCAGGGGGCAAGGGAAGCCAGGGGGATCGTGGAGGACCAGGTGGAGGGCGGGAGGGCATGGCCTGCCTCTGGGCTCCTCTGATCTCATGTCCTCACCCTGAGCTTCGACTCAGCAGGGACCCCAAGCAGGCCCCTTCCTCCATCCCATCGCCTCCCACACCTGGCAAAGAGCTGCTGCAGGCCCACAGCCCCCATGACAGCTGTGCCCGACTCAGGTGGAAAGGGGAGAGCGGACCAGTGCTGTGGAAGACCTGCCAGGGGCTCTGCTGGAGGCGTGTGGACTCAGGCACAGCAAGCAGAGGCACCCAACAGGCCCGCAGCGTCCCAGCTCCGGGCTGAGCTCTGCCTGGTGACAGGCTTTGGGGAGGTGCTGGCTGCATGGAAGGTGGTGAGAAGGGATGAGGAGCTAAGGGAGGAGCGCTGAGCGGGAGAGGAGGGCCTGGGCACAGGCCATGCCCAGGCACACGGGCATTCAGGTGTCGGTGGAGAAGGAGGAAATGCAGACGGCAAGCAAGCGGGAAGGCCACACCAGGCAGGCCCTGGACAGACGCAGAAGAGGGTGAGGGGAGGAAGGGGGCGTCGGCGAGGGCAGGACTGGAGCCGGGCCTCCAGAGGGACAGCTGCAACAGGAGGACACCAGGCGGAGTCTGTGTGGCCGGAAAGTGGAGTTTGAGGACCATGCGGCCGACTGGTGATGGACAGGCACCTCCTGCAGCAGTATCACAGAGACCAAGTTAGAAGCCACTGGGAAGTGTGTCCCAGGAACAACGGGTGGAGTAAGACCCACGGACACTGTGACACGTACTCCTTTTTTGTTTTATAATAAATGAGCTGGGTCTACATCCCCTGAAGGATGTCCAAGGTAGGGTAGTTGAGCAAAGGTTCCAGAGTGGTACGTATGGTGTGACAGTAGTTGTGTTGTTGTTGTGTACTTAAAAGCTACTTTAAGAAGAATGAGGACTCCTTTAAATAGACTACTGTGTGTTAATAGGAATATCCGGCATAGTTAGCAGAAGCTGGGGGGAGACAAAGGGAGATCATTTTCTGTATGGTGCTGTCTAACCTGATAAAATGAACATACATCCTGTGGAATATTTTGTTTTCTTGTACTAGAGGTTGAACCCAGGTGCTTTGTCACTAAGCCACATCCCCAGACCTTTAGTTTTTGAAACAGGGTCTCACTAAATTGCCCAGCTGGCCTCGAACTTGCCATTTTCCTACTTCAGGTTCCCAATTCACTGGGATGGTAGGCATGCACCACCACGCTCCGCTGGGCAAATTTTAGAGTCAATGAAGTAAAAAAGAAAAAACAAAAAACAAATGTTTTCAGGGACGCTGGGCATTTTCATTCTGCTCAATGTGTGTTAGTTGGAAACTCTAGGGTTCCCCTTTTCCTGCACTCTGCTTGCTCCATCTCTCTAGGCACCGGTAAAAATGATGAATGGAAGGAACTGGAGAAGATAACGCATCGGCTCCCTCCAATCCCTACCTGGCCTCCAGGGGGGTTTCTGTGTTGGGTGGTGCTCTGGGTGACTGGCGGGGCAGCAGGGTTTATGGGTAATACTTTATGATTTTTCTCCAAATTGTGGGGAGCAGGGTCTGAGAGAAGCTGCCACCCAGAACACCTGATTTTTAGGGCTGGATTTCTTCTTTTTTTTTTTACATTTCTTTTTTTAGATGTAGGTAGACACATACCTTTATTTTATTTTTATGTGATGCTGAGGATCGAAGCCAGTGCCTCACGCATGGTAGGCGAGTGCTCTGCTGCTAAGCCCCAGCCCCAGCCCTTAGTGCTGGGTTTCTGACAGGAAATATCTCCTGCCAGTAGACTCTTCCAGATAGGTGCTCCTCGACACTGAGAAAACTCAGTTTCCCCCCAAAACTCAGCGTGGTGGGGGGCGATGGCTCCGCCCTCTCCAAAGAGATGGGGTAGGTGAGGAAACTGGCCCAGCTGCTTATTAAATCATTTTGCTCCAAATGTGTTTTTGTTTTTAACAGCTATAAGAAGTATAGAATAAACCCTCCACTAGAAAGGTTCTTGAGGGAGGTGCCCTTCTGAGGGTGCCCAGGGGGCAGTGGTGACATTCACTCTTCCAGTCGGCAGGCAGCAAAGGGCTGTTGAGGCCAACAGAGGACTCATGAAAGTTGGGTCCAGTTTCTGCTGGGGAATTGCTTAATCCAAAAAACCAGGAAGGACACTCTGTGCCACCCTAATCACAGGATCACTTGATAATCTCACACTTCAGTCAGCGATCTCACTGCTGTGCTCAAAAGACCCGATAAGAACAATTTCAACAATTTTAGACCCTTTAGGAAAAGTTTATTTAAGGCTCACAATGTGGAAGGTCTTCATCCACAGACGGCCGACTCCATTCCTGGGGCCTGGGGTGAGGCGGCACATCATGGGGGAAGAGTGTGCTGCAGGAAAGCGTGGGGACGTGGTGCCAGGAAGCAGGGAGAGAGCTTCCCTCACCAGGACAAAATGTAAACCCCATCAGGAAGTGGTACCACTCGCCTGTGATCCCAGTCGCTCAGGAGGCTGAGGCAGCAGGATTGCAAATTCAAAGCCAGCCTCAGCAACTTAGCAAGGCCTTAGGCAACTTAGCAAGATCCTGTCTCTAGATAAAATAGAAAAAGGGCTGGGGATGTAGCTCTGTGGCTAAGCACCCTTGGGTTCAATCCTCAGTACCAAAAAAAAAAAAAAAAATCTACCACAAACAAACTATAAACCCGCTAATTTGACTTGTAGGAGCAAACTACCCATGAGCAGATGATTCAAGGAGCATGAATGAGGTTCTTCTCATTGGCCACTAAATTCTTCACTACTAAGCATCTTGGAAACCATATTAGCTCCTTCGGCAATGGGAATTGAGTTTATATTTGACTTTTGTTTACAGATCCTTTTATTGGGGGGGAGATTAAAAAATTTTAATGTGAAATACCAAACATAATATAACTAATAAATAAACATAATAAAACTTAACACTAAGCCTACTATACTTGCTGTGAAGGTCAACAGTCGTGACAGCACTGGGTTAACAGTTCTGGAGCGCTCCCTCTGGCCACCAGGCACTGTACTCAGCATATGGTAGACACTGACCTATTTAGATTTAGATGTGAACAAGCGTCCCAATTTGCATGGGACAAGTTCATAATTACAAAAGGGAACCCCTCTGATGCCCAAAGTGTTGTGTCAAGATTAGAAGTCACATGGTTACCCTGCTTACCACTCACGGCCACTCCGCGAGGTTAGCTGGTGGTGGTCAGTTACTCCTTCTACCATGAGCTCTTCATGCTCCCAGAACATGTACTCCACCAACTGTGCAGAATCTTTCATCCCCACGTCAACTAGTTCTCCATCTCTCTGGACACCAGCTGGGTGCCCAGTGATTCGATTCAATTCTGACCCTAAGTGCCCTAGGTTAATGCAGACACCATAGGATAAGGGCTCATCCCTATAAACCGTTCCCTCTGCAGACACCAATTACAAGGTGGTGGTGGGTTGCCTGTTTTCTGACTATAACTCAGAGGTTGCCATGATCCCCTCTTCAGTTTGATAATTTGCTAGAATGGCTTACAGAACTCAGGAAGGCATTTCTCTTACTCTTATTACCAATTTATTATAAAGGACACAACGCAGGAGCAGCCAAATGGAAGAGGGTCACAGGCAGGGTGTGGGAAGGGGCTTGGAAGGGCCTCTCAGGTGTACCACATCCCAGCATACCTTGGTGCTCACCACTCTGGGAGCTCTTCATGCCCTGAAGTTTCAGGGTTTTCATGGAGGTTTTGTTATGTAGGCATAAATGACCCATCATTGGCTTGGTGACCAGGACCAATCCCAGAGGTTCGGGGTGGGCTGAAAGTTCC